TGGTGGGAACCAGACTGGAGACCGGATTCCAGATAGTGCGTGGGATACGCTTAACAACGTACCCAATGCGGTCCTCAAGTTGAATTAGAGTACCTGAAAGAGAGGCCTCTATGGAATCGGCATTTTCTATCGCAATTTTTAGCGATGCATCAGACGAGAAAGCGACGCAGAAACCATTTGAGCAGCGAGAAACGGAGGCAATTCCATCCTTTAGTCCGGGAACAATTTGAATGAAAGTAGACTTGACTGTGGTTGCGTCTGCTCTGAGGAGTGGAGCTTCCTCAGAGAGGCGGAAGATAGCTTTTAAGCCCTTGGTGATTGCAGATTTTTTCGGGACGGGCGTACAAGAAGGGGGGGACGTTGTGTTGGGTCGAGACGAAGACGGCGCCGGAGGGACAGTGGCGGGAGGGCCTGCGGCGGTCGATGCCCAACTCTGTGGTTGCTTTGCTATGGGGATATTAGGTTGTGCTGGTATGCTTTGGCTAGGTTTGGGTAAGGAGCCCGCTGGCTTGTGCTGTCTTTGGCTGTTGTATTGCATATGGTGCCCGGAAGCAGCCGCAAGGAGAAACGCGTCCATTTGCTCTCGCACGAAGGACTGGATTAGGGGATCAGCCTCTTCAACGGTTGACCAAAACTTGTTATGAAAGGTTTGAACCCAAGTAGCTCGACCCTTCGCAACGCGCTGGACAAGCTCGAGCTCTTCAGCGACGCGCTGGGCCAGAGTAGGTGGTTGTTGTGATTTGGCCATCACGGGCGCGATGACCAAACTAAGATGCACTTATTAGGGATCGAATTAGAGGAATCGAGTTGTAGTGAATAGCTGGAAAGGAGTAGGGATACGCTCCGTATCTTGTTGTTTGCGTAATGGGGATTGTTGTGATACAGATCTTATTTTATTTATCTTTATTTAACGTCTGGCGGATCACGCGTCAAGCGAGTAACCCTATTAAGTCCCTACTGAGACAAAAGACGCATGATACAGATCTTGATTCGCGCATTTACTGATATTGGTGAGTACCTGTCACGGGACTAAGAGCTAGCGCCGTACACTAGGATATTAGTATAGATCCCTCCTATAATTAAACTTCCCTTACTATCACACAACACAGTTATTTTCACGCCAGACGCGTTGACTTCGAGGGAAAATGTCACATCACGATTTTACCCACAAGCTTCTCGGGCCTAAGTGCCTCGAACACTTTACAAAATTTGCGCAGGAAACCAGCTGCTTCGGAGACCCACCTGCGAGTCTTTCTCCAGCTCTCAGCGTAGGCGGCAGTAGTTAAATCATAGCACGAAGTATGACAAATAGGAAAATAAGACGAGAAGTGTTATTTTACAACCACAAATAGGAGTATAGGGTTTGGAATTTCGGTTATGGGATTCTGTGGGAGCATTTATTTTCTTTCTTATAACTAGCTACTGCTTGTGTAGTGGGTCACGCGGTGAGACCGAGTCGGGCATGTGGAAAGCATGGTCTCGGTCGTGTGCACCGGTCCTTGACTCCTAGGAGATGTAGAGCATAGCTTAGGACCTAAAAATTAAGAAAAAAACACAGTTATATTATTAAACTACTAGAATCTGACCAGTGATCCACCGTAACAGTATCATAGCCAAACGCAAGCACAGTTCGAGCTTGGTCGCCACCATAACAGCGACGATGAGCATACTGTGCGGCCCAACCACAACCACAAGTCTCTTCCCCAAGTCCAACAGTGTCAAAATTGTGGTGACTCCCATGAATCAGATACTTGAGATTGCTTAGCTTGTCCCATGCGTACTGACGCAGTGACCAAGGAGCAGTTAATCAATCTCGGGATAGCCTGTCAAAATAGTTCGTGGTGATGGTCCGAACAAAGGCTATTGCAGGTGGGACTAAGTCGAGAAGATGTGCTGCTTCGAAAGATGCAATAATTTCCAGGGGGGGCTTAGTTCTTGAAGTGTTCGGATTAAGTCCTGGTCAACGATGTCTAGCCTAATTGTGTTATGTTGCAGACTACTGTTACAATTATTCATGGGGTCATCATCAGGGTTGTGAGTAGTTTCGATTTTGTTGTGGGTTGCTAGATTGATACCTGAGCGTGTCGCATAGTAGTCAGACATGCGACTCGAGTAGCATATGCACAATAACTCTCAACCCTAAACTGATGATACGAATCAAGTTTTATATGCTACGTCCTGTATGGCTAGCGTGGTTGGAATATAGGGAGTTCACCTGTAGATAGATAAAGACGTTGTAGCCCTCTGATAGTTGGGAGAAGTCTTCTATAATATTATATCGGAATCAATCCTAGCCTCTCATTAAGCAATCTCATGAATTATTTCCAATGTCTATTATAACAGACGTATATCAACAAAGTCGACGATCAAGTTTTAAGTCGATAATGAAGACTTGAGGCCCAATAGACAATTCCGAGAAGCGAAAGGTACCTAGAAAAAGTCGATATCGGCCTAAATCAAAACCAGTGGAAGGGCTGGTGATTTTGGAAGAAATCCGGTAACTCATCTTTTTTCCTCAGTGCAGGTTGAGAAGTTTTATTTGGGAAATTTGACGGGATAGGAAATACCTGGTGAGCGCTCTACTTGGATTCAATACGGAGGAACTTCTGTTATTCGAAAAATTTTTGATTTCCTTTTTTTTATCTGTTGCAATATTGGGGGTGATTCACGTCGCTGGTGTGATTTTGGCCTATTAGTAGTGATCCCCACCGGCTCCAGCTATCCTGTAACTATAATGGGTTTTAATCTTTAGCCAAGGACTCAGTCCCAGAAAATAACGCACCCGGCCGGGTCTTGGTAGCCTATTGCTCTCGATAGTTTTGTCCCCAGAAGCTACTCAGATCTCCAGTCATATATTTGCACACCCCATAAGTTAGGGGTTTTTTCTGTTTTTGTTCATTAACGTGCTCGGTTAAGTGACTACTGTTGCACTCCTACTGGAGCTTAAGCACGAGTGGGGCCGGGCCGGATCAGGTTAACTACCGCGAAGTACAGATATACCTCGTCCAACTTAAATGACCGGACCACCTTAGACTTCACCTATATGTTGAATCATACCAAGTCTGACCGTCCAGAAAGCCGCTATCGACACGCCATGGCGAAAATTCCTCCTCAGCCTTGGCCACCACGCGCCCGAGCCCTTAACATCCTCATTGACTCCGAAATATAAATACCGTCCAAGATCTCATTATTGCTCTAGCCTTGCACCTTCATATCGTACCGTCGGGTTGTTTTCGTCATTGGGGATTTGTGTAATCCCCTCGGTATATCTTCCCTTTTCTACCTTATTTGTACACGTCCCGTTTCCATCATGACTTTCCTCATTAGGGCGTGCGTAGGTAGGTGATGTGACGAGTATGGAGGTGGGTCGCAGGTGTAGAATCTGCTGAGAAATAGATCGTCGTAAATATATAAGGAGTTTGAGAGATGTTAGATGTTTGAATACGACCCCCAAACAGACCTAAATTCATTCGTGAGTTGTATGTTGGTGGTGATGAGTTTTTAAGCGACTTTTTTGCGGCTGTGAAATCTCTGCCGACTGATCTTTCGACCAAAATATCGAGTGCAACTCCTTCAAGTCGAATATCCATCAATTAAAATTCATCCCACCCATTTTCGTGACTGAATCTCGGCTCTGGGAGAATATTTCACTCCCAGGTTCGTAGAGGGCACCACTGACAGGTGTTCAGTCTTTGCCCTCCCATAAGTTAGGGTGCACCTGTGTTAGGTGCTGCAAGACGGAAATCATACGTTCTCAGTCTAGCCAATAAAATCCGCCGTTATCATATCTTAAGGCCAAGATGTTTATGCAAATAGTTACAAGGTTTCCAAGAGGGTGTTGGCGTCACGGTTCCTCAAGCAACCCTTCCGCGCTGCTGCGTCCGCTAGAGCCACCGTTGCAGATGGGATGCTTAAACTAGACATTAAAAGACGCTCCAATTTAGGCAGAGTACAATCTTCGTTGGTGCAGCTACCCGTCACCAGCCAACTCTACTTTACGCGTTTCAAAAAGGGCATAGGCGCCATTCGAGTCATACAGTTCGGAGCCCATTTTATTCCTCAATGCGAGAAAGGCCAACTACTGTCTCTCGTTCGAAGCGGTTGATGGCAGCTTCAACTACATCACGGCCTTATTCCTACCATAAGCTTCATTGGGAGAGAGCAATTCAGGGAATTTGAAGGGAGTAATAGCTGATCGCATCTTTTCGCCAGCAGAAGTATGCTGTAAAATACTAGGCGCAAACCTTGGTAGGTAGACTAGCCCGGCCGTATCAGCAAATGTAGCATACGATACGAAGTACTTTTGATGAAAAAACCATTTTTTGGCCCAACAATTAGGAAAAGGATGGCTCTTTGCCAGCGCAATATCAAGTGGGGTGAAAGGTGCGGTAGACTCTTGAGTCTAACGCGATTAAATCTAAAAGAGAAACTTTCCATCCTGCAATTCTCTTTACGTCATGTGATATGCGCTAATAGCTATTAGTTCTGACTTCATCCACGATACTGATTATTCACAGGTAATACGCTCTGTTTATGAAATCTTGCGAGGGTACATGAAAACTTAAACCCTCATCCCGTTTGCGCAGAAATAGTAGCGGAAAATATCCTTCAAAATTGCCTTTTCTTGTCTAGGTTTAGAAAAAAGTCTCATCTCGTTATTCGAAAAGAATCGACATGAGATAAATCGAAGTTGAAATCATGGCCTCGAGATGTTTTGGCCAGTTTGGGCATAGAGCAACGAAAATAAATAAAAAGCAATAAGTAGCTTACTCCGGTTAAAATTATTATGTGAGAGTTTATATTATCTTTATTTTATCAACGATTGAATTTGGCCCGTATAGATACAAGTAAGCTTAGAATACCTACATCGTATTAATTCGTATAAAATAGGAGCTTCGGAGCTGCGGAAGAAACCCGAACAAACCTTAGCTGAATGACTCTGGAATTTAAGATATACAATCTCGTGAATGTGGGAAAGAATTAGATGATTAGTCTACATCTCATCGGTAGTTTATGGAGACTCCTAAATGATTATTCATCCTAAATTCTTTTAGGTTTTGTTGAAATCTACTACAGTTGTTTGGGATCACGGTCGATCTAGACAATGACGAAAAGTGGGTAGATTGATTTGCGAAATTAATCGGACCTTGAAAGTTATCATATGAGTTTACACTACCTACGAATTTGGATGTAGTAGAATTATCTCGTCGAGCCTCAGCTCCAAAATTGGTAGAGAATTTGGTTGGAGGGTGAGGTGTTAAATACATGGCCAAATAAGGATCGGTTGGGATGTTAATTGGTGGGAAAGTTATATTTTGAGTGACGCGTTGAGCCCGAGCGTTGGAAATAGGCTGTGGTAGTTCAAAGGATTGAAAGGGATATCTGGTCTGTACTGATTGGTTTCCAGTGCTAGGTCCAAAACTGCCAGATACTTGATCGCCAAGAGATGAGCTGGCATGAGATGCTGGGTTAATTGCAGACATCCAGATTCTAGTTTTATAGATTCTGAATAAATCAGCCACAAGTGAGTTGAAGTTGACGTAAGTATCTGCGAAATAGTAAAAAGTCAATTTTTTCCAATCCCTATGAGTACTGTTATTTCAAAGTCATAGCTTGAATCTTACCTTACTTACATCTGAAATTCGGCGTCGAGAATTTCCATTTCAAGGCCGTGGTCCTGGACCTTTTGGACGCACACTCGCTTTGCCGTGGCTTCCTTAGCTTCCTTCTCGGACAGGGCTTGGACTTCGTGTTGCTGAGCTAGTCTCTTGATTATCTTCGGCTTAAAATCAATAGCCCTCGACTCTGGCACATTGACATGGCTTGACCCATCTACATGGACCGCAAAGTTATCGTATGTACACTTTGCCGAAGTCATGTGACCTTTATCGGAACTGACCAGAGATCCTGTAGAATTTTGAGAGAACATCATTAGTCTTTTGTAGTGGTCTTCGCAGTAATTCTCGTGAAGTCCTTTTGCCGTGACCCAATCTATGTTAGCACATGACACAGTTCCTAAATCAGTTCCTCTATCTGCCTCTACAATAACCGAGTCTCCAGGCTTTACGGAAAGTCCTGTTCCCTTCTGAATGTAGAAAACTCCAGAACGGTAGCATTTAAATAGTACAATAAATAAAGGTAAGCCTTGACCGAAGTTTGGAGCGTTATAAATCCTATTTGGTTGCATGTCGGCTCCATTGGTATCATGTTGAGCATTAGCTAGATTTGAGTGTGTGGCTTTGTAGTAGTTCTGACTACTATAGGTTCCCAAATTTTTTAAATGAGCCTGAGAAGCTGCTCGGTAAGAATTCATACGACCTTTGAATGAGTATATGACATGACTTTTGCTATTATTTGAATATCCTTCACATGACAAATTATCAGGACGAGCATTTATAGGTACTAACTCGTCATAAGAGCTGAATAAGTTATTTCGAGTCGGAATATTAGCGAATGAATGTCGCCTGCTGTGTGGGCTGTTAGATATCCCGCCAAAATCAAGCGAACTCTGCCAAAAAGTTTTTTTAAAATTTTCTAGCCTTTGGTTTTCAGCAAGATTAAGTTTAGATAACCCTGGTTGGATTACTTCTATGTGATCACTACGATGAAGTCCGTATTCTTTGGACATACTAACAGTTCCGTGGTCATTTGCATCATCAATTTCATCTATGGCAGACTCTAGTTCTTCAGTTTGGGTTCCCCATAATACACAAGTCTGTGCGTAGTCACTATTTGACTGCGATCGTAGGTGATAGTTGCACGACATTCTATTCAATAATTTGTTTTCGTGGGCTGCTAGATCGATAGTCTTTTTGTCGCTCAGATTGCATGAGATTTTGGAATCATAAAATAATTTTTTCTCATCTTCGTAATCGTCATCCTCCCTTAGATTTCCAAGGACACTCTCCCTAGACATTTCACTAAGCATACTGGGTCTAGAAGGCCTGTGTTGAAGTACCGAGTGAGGGGTAAATCTACCACGACTATTCAATGTCTGGTAAGGTTGGGTCTTGAGTTGTTCTGGCGAGCCCAGATCAAGCTGGCCCACAGAATACGACTGTGATCGGTAGGTCTTTGGTGTGGGGTGTAATGGAATTGCAAATGGTATAGGTGTATTTGTAGACCGATCACTCAAAAAATTTTTGGAATCCTCACATAGACTTGATTTTGGAGATGTGGGCGAAGTTGTGGATTTAGGAGATGGCTGAACTTCCATAAGTCGAGAAAGAGATTCCTTTCGATTTTCAGCGTTCCAAATTCCATTACTGAATGGGAAGGTATTATGAGCTTGGGGTCCTGTGCTAATATTCTTTCCCTGTGTCGATTGACCCCAAGAGCTACCATCAATAGAAGGCGTGCTAGGATAGGACACAGATAGTGACATTGAGTTGGAAGTAAAAGATAACTTTCGCGCTTCAGATACTGGATTTTTAACATTAAGTTGTGATGATTTTTGTACCGATAACTGCCGGCGTGGCCCTGACTGGGTTGCTTCTATCTTGTGACTTTCAAAGTCTGAGCTCTTCGATGCCTCAGAGTCTGGAGTAGATCGCCACTTTTTGAGGTGATTTGATGACATATTTGATCAGCTGGGATTCTGAATTCAAATCGGTACAAAAAAGTTTCCTTTTGCTGTCGCATTGACTGAGTTAAGGTCCAGTGAATTGGTGGGGTTACAGTGCCGAAGACTGTTTTCTCATTAACTCTTATCAAAGGATCTATGATAGAAACATAAAATTAGTGTAACGCTTGTCGAATTTTGTTGTAATATTCATAATATCGAGCGTAATTGTTATCTTGAGCCTAGATACAATCATTTTAGCCTTAATATAGTTATTTTATTCTAAATTAAGGCATAATAGGGAGCTATAGAGTTGAGAAGAACCTGCGACGTGAAAATAATTTAAGATGAGAACAGAAAAATCCAAATGCTTTAAGGTATCTAGTTGTACATTCCACAATGTCCCTCGAAGCACTGACTGGCCATTGAATAATCTGAACTAGTTCACATATGTAAGAAATCGACTTTCGGATTAATTGGGGGGCACAGGACACTATCTTAAAAGGGCTTAGGAAATAAATTAAATTTCGTATAATAAAGAGACGATCACAAATTTACGTACCAATAGGAAAATATTCTTATTCGGGATTGGCTGATTAGATGAAATACTTTTGAGTTTGGAAGAGTTGAATAGAATGGTGATATACAGAGTAGAAGAGACTAGGTATCAGATGATGAAATTGGCGGTCCAAGGAGGGCTATTGTGAAAAATGGCTAGACATTGGTGTTTTGTAAGGTTATAGCTAGCTTCGCGCAAAGAGAGTTAAATAATAGATCCTGGTCGAGAAAACTTGATGGGTGGGAAATTTTTATCTTTATTGAAGTCGATAGAGATTTACTTTGAATGGAAAAGGTCAGTTTTGTCATTGGGAGCAACATAAGTAGAGCGTTGCAGAAGAAAAAACGCCTGACAGCAGAGAACAGGGTCGGTGACGATATAAGTCATAGGATTTAGCAATTTTCGTGAAGACTTCCCAAGGCCAGTTTAATGTGTGACGAAGGTTGCTTGATGATATTTGCTCATGGTCAGCTAACTCTAGCAGAACCAGTCTGTCTGATCAACAATAATGAGCCGTAAACTCATAGCCATCTGGAATCTCATGATAATTTTATCATGGACTGACTGCCTAAAAGAAAGAAGCATAACGGGATTTTATTTTAAATTTTTGCTGCCACGTGAGTTGAGGTACAAAAGTTCTATTAGGAACGTCCATGGCTGTAGATGAGCGCCTTGCAGGTGCAAGGCCAGCAATTCTGACAATGATTTGTTAGTTTGGATTCCCAAACACATGTAAGCCCGAGAATCTAAACCATATTTCCCAGAGTTGCGGTGTTGCTAGATTTTTAGAATACATTCCACGGGAGTAAACTTCAAGAAATTTACAAATTTAATCGTAGGAATATGCTGCATCGAACTATAGATTACAGACACTAGTCTTTCAGGAGTTTCGCTGAAAATTTTTGAGCATTTTATGGCGAGCTATCAACTCGTCTACTGCGTGATACTTGCAAATTTTGTCGGAAACATTGCCTGGAGTATTACTTACAATGTGCGAGAGATCTGACTTACTAAAAAAATTGTGACTCAGCCTCTGCTTGGGATCCAACAATCTTTGAGTCATCTGCTTCTAAATCCTCGGCACATGAATTGACAATTGTTTGCACAGCCAACTATAAGATAAAAGCACGGGAAGACTTTAGCGAAAACAAAAATACTCAAAGTATGGATATCTAGACGTGATATCACAACGCTATTGTCGACTAGGTAGATGACGGTTTAAGCGGAACAAGTAATTTTTCGGTACATATGACCTTGTATCGCATGCGTAAATCTTAATTCCAAAGGCTTGTATCTCTATTCATAACTCAAGGGTCTAGGCTGAGGCAATAACTTGAACGATGCGCTTTTTTCGTCATGTAAGCTGATATGTTGCGCAAGAGATAGCCAAAAGTATACGCCAAAATCAGAACTAAAGCTTAAGTTAGGAGACTTAAATGCGAAGAATTCGAAGAACTGTTGAAGAAGGCTAGTTGTGGTTTGTGTCAAGGTGAAGCGTTCTTATCTCGCGTCGCTAATCCTGCACCTGTCGTGTTCCGCTCCCTCGTGGTGGATGTAGAATTTGTCAATATAGCTCATTTGTTGGTAATAATTTTATAAATATAGGATTTGGATAGAGAAAACTGAAGCCCGCACGTTGTGGAGACAAGTTTAAAACGTTTACTGCGTTGCGGAAATGATATGGCGAAGTGATGGAAGAATACCTGCGTGGTATTCACAATAAGCATCACGCGACAAACTCAAGGAACTCGAGCTGAGTCAAGCAAGTCTATCTCTACGAGACTAGGTCATACTAGGCTCGAAGAGTGACGCCATGGGGCTTGCCGAGCATAATGATTGGTACCCATTTACCTCTAGTGTCGGATTGAAGTCGGACAGGGGCTAATCAGTTCAACTTTAACTCAAGCACGGGATTCGTACCGCACGGGCTGAATCCGTACAAATGGCACAGGGCAGCCCGAGGCGGTTCGGTTCGGAAGTTTTTGCCAATCGTTTAGAGCTTCTAGATTAGTTGGTTCAACGGTTACCCAAAATTTACAGGAATTACGATCGTCAGAAGAGTTGAACTAGTGCTTCCAGACCCTACCCGTGCAAGCTGATCGCTGACAGCGCCCGTCCGCGGAGAACAACTTACAATATAGTTCGACTGACTCACATGAGTGACCCCGACAAATATAGCAGCAGAATTAATAGTGGTCACGGGGGATACGTCAGTGTCAGTTTGAGTCTAAAAATCACGCTTTCATCGCTTACATTCCAAGTCAGCCTATTTTAGTCAGCGAATCAATCTGTATGCGTAAGAAGACATGCCGGCCACCATCAGTAAAATTATCCGTCAACTTCCATGCGGTCACCTGGATACGAGCAGCTTGGTACCCCGCCATGGCTCACTACCGGCCTGTGAGCTAAACTCCTTCTTCATCGCCTGGAATATGGAGATCAATACCAACGCAGCAGCATATTTCGTCTTAGCGTGAAGCAAGCAGAAAGTTAATATCCCAGAATCCCCGCAGTCACCTGATAATAGAACCCCGGCTGGTCATTCTTTTTGTGAAGCTCAAATTCGTCTGCTGACAATGCTTCATCTTTGGAACAAGACTATTACTGCCCAATGCGGATGGTCAGATCCCAAAATAAAGCCAATCTTAGAATCTTCCAACTCTAACCTTGACTTTTATAACGATATCGAAACTCAGTAGTCTTGTGAAAATTTGGGCCACGTAAGTGTAGACAGCCAGGAATGAAAATAAAGAATAAATACTGGGCCTTCGAGCGAGAATATTGTGCGTGCCAAGGATATGAAGACAACATGAGATGTATAAAAGTAATAATTTTTTTCTTAAAAGTGAAGCGTAATTTTAAAGCTATCCTGTAATCAATCTAAAAATATAGAGCTGACATCAGGAAATATCAATCCATGAATTTTAGTACATCCATTCCTCAGGATGTTTAGTACCAGCAAGCATCGCCTCATCACAAGATGCTCAAGATAAAAGTCATTTATGGTTGGAAACCTTCCTATTGATTCCCTTTTACATGATCATGACTAAGAGCACAAGGGAAGACACGATCACAGGCAGTCGGACTAGTTGAGGTTAGCTAAAGGCTATTATATTCCATAGCAGTTCCATATCATTACTGACAGCTTCTTATCAATATTTTAAGAGAGCCTCTGTCTAAAATCATGGCTCATGAGATGTCTGATAATAGCCAAGGTTATAATAAGCTAGAAATGTAGCAACATATAGAGGTAGACGGATTGGCTAAGTCTGTAAATTTTTTGGATCCACGCTCAATATGCGGCCCTTCTGATCGATTGGGTAGGCGAACTCAATGGCATAAGCTGTAACATCATATGCGACGCTGTGTAGTAGGTTCATGAGAATTCTAAGTCAGTAAGCGGGAGTATAAAGGAATAAATGCAAAAAGTCTTTATCATAGAATACCATTCGAATTTTTTTCGAAGCTATGGATATGAGCTGGTGTTCATCTCAAGTCAACAATGGAGTATGAGAATATGATCGGTATGAAAAGGCCATTTTTATAAAGACTGTCTTGTGCTATTATGCAGCACTTATTAAGGCAGCTTGCTACCAAGGAACAATTGGCGTCAGGGTGAGGAGCCGACAAATCATTCGAGGACTCAAAGAAACTTGACAAATCTTCTTTTCCTTCAACAAATTCCTTGCGCCTCATACTATTCTTCAAACTATTTTTGTGCGCGATTTTCAGTATTCAATTCGCGAGAGCTTTGCCTTGCTATCGAGCTTCTCGACTTCAATCCTCCTCTCCACAGGATGAAGAATTAAAACGCATGGCCGGATACGAGTCAACTTGCCAGTGGGAGTTAACTTGTGATGGCATGTCATACAGTATCAGTCTCTTTTTGTTGCTTCAGCTTTTCCTCAAACTTTAGGAATTCCCGTTGGGCTACCTCTTCTTCAGGATCAAGTACTTGTGTGACACCCTTGACTTCTTCAATCTGTGCTGGTATCAGCATCTATCCTTTTGGATAGAAATTCACTTACATAGTGCATAAGCATGCCTTCAATGCCGTTCTTGAGGGTAACTGCACTTGACTCACACGTTCGACAAGCCCCTCGTAATTTCAAAAGAACCATGCCATCGACAAATCCACGGAACTCTATATCCCCACCATCTTCCTGGATTGCTGGCCGGATCCGTGTCTCCAAAAGTTCTTTTATCATGCCGATAGCCTCACTATCATTTTCATCATAGCTCAAGCTATCCACTGAGGCATTATCTGGGCTCCCATCACTATTAGACTTGCTAACCGTGTTAACAATTGGTGCTCCTGAGCTCACCGCCTCAGTAATGAGACTAAATACCTCGGCTTTGATATGATTCCACTGGGCGTCTGTAGCTTTGGTGATTGTGATAAAATCCGCACCATAGAATACTGAGATGACACCATCGACGCTAAGTAACTGTGCGGCCAATGGAGACGGATGAGGCGGCGCTAAAGTATCTCGCGGGTTGAGATACTCGAGGAATGGGGACGAAAGGTTCAGTGGAAGGATCGGATGGTTCGGAAGGAATTTAAGGGCATCTGGGTTCGGAGTATTCTCTGTTTGAATAAAGATATTGCGAGACTGGAGAGAAAATAGGTGCTGCGGAGGGACGATGGGTCGCTTCTGCGTCCTCAACGTCGTCATGGCGGACAGGCGAACATTATGACTGGCGCACCTTACGACCTGGTGAATACAAGTAGACACTGTCCGTTGTCGACAGATGCCAGAAAACCTGAGCAAAGCAGAAGTCTGGGCTCTCAAGATTAACGCCGGCATTAGGAATTGTCAGAATTACTTGTGATTATTTGTGATCGCGGGATGGGATCTGGTGGGCATATGGTGAAGCCTTGTCTGCTGACACATCGAGACTGAACGGCGCAACGCTAAGTCCGAGAAGCCAATATCCCTGTCGTGATCATCGTTCCCATTCGCGTAGGACGACTGGCAGACTGGGAGAGTAAATGACCGCGCCGTCAACTCAACATGTTTATAAAAGAAATAGAGCATCCTGAAAGTGCTAGTCCAGTGCGCCAGGACTCGGGCAATAATATACCGGACACGCGTCCGCTTCAAGTTCAACCAAGTACGTCGAGTCCAGAAACAGACTGTGCCCCATCCTCAAAATCACGAACAAAGGCCATATGTGGTGTCTGCGCAACCAGAGAGTCCCAATATAAGTGCGCCCGATGTTATTTACCCTAGTAAAATATTTCCTCGTCTGCATCTAAAATCATCTCTCACTAATGCTTCATCGCAGTTGTTCACTGGCGTGCTCTACTGTTCATAAAGAGAGTCACCCACCACTCTCGCCCCGAAATCCACAAATAGAGAAGCTATATGGAGACACCAATTCGATTCTGGAATCACAGCATAGTCACATTCAGGACTCCACTCAACCTGATGAGCCCTTCGCGTCGCTAGGCTCTTCTGAGGATCTACAAATACTTTTCAAAAACTACCCAAACTTACCAAACGTTCTAGAAAGGATTCACGAAGCAACCTTACCGCCAACCAGCCAATTAAATCCTTCCAATCTCTCAGAACGAGTGATCAAGGGCAAGAAAGAACCTCCATGGACTAATGATATCGGTCTACAGAAGGGTGTTTCGGCTTTACACGCAGCCAAGGTTATGGGTGATCGAGATGGTGAAGGGGTTCGTGCCTACTCGCAACTAGTCATGAGTATCGTCAATGGAGATACAACAGAAAATACAGTCGAACGAATTCGTCAAGAGTTAGCTGAACAAGACACAAGACTAATAGAAAGGCTCCTCAATAAGAACATGTAAAAATTGATTATATTTATATCATGTCATCTCTAGGTGGTAACCTTGAAGTGCTAAAAGTTTGTGGCTTACTTATTTTCGGATAACAATACACCGAAACCGGTCCGGCGGAGGTTTGTGAGTGGTTGAATTATAGGAGAAAGCAAGGTTGTCATTCTCATTAGACATAGAGTTATGGGTATCTTTACATGGGATCATTATCCTCTTTCGACATAAGCGCCCTGCTTTTTTAAGCGTGTACAGCCAAAGGACAGATTGTATTTTTTCAAATGCTCGAATTTTTCAAAAATCGGTTCAGAAAACTATTTCGTCCACCTGGTTTCGTAGCAGGAGGTGATGGTAGGCTATCGGTGCTGTCGGGGCTGTTGCTCTCGGAGTTTTGAAATTTCGGTATTTTTCTTACCATCAATATCCAGCTTGTTTCCATTCGTTTTAATAGAGGAGAGCTAGTGACTTTGTCTTTACGACCGGTATCGCCTCTTTTCAGCCAGCCAATATTTCTCCCGCCACGTGAACTTCCCTTCATCTTGTGAGACCGATTGGTACCTTGCCAATATATTTCACCATCGTCACTCGCTCCTGGACCATCACATGTGGATTTGGAGTAGGCATGTTCCATCGGATGATATGTTCCTCCTTTTATACATTCATCTTGCCATGATTCTAGTGCTTGGTCGCGTTTGTGAAGATTGCGATGACGATTTGTACAGTGATGGGTGTCGTGCTGATCGTTACCTAGATACTTTTCAGACTTATTATTTCCCTTAGAAGATATTTTTTGGTGCGTTGCGCCTCTATACCCCTTGTGCGGAGCTTTTATTGCTTCATGAGATGATCGAACTTGAGGTTGTGTTATGGTACTTTCAGGAGCCACGGTATAATTCGTCGAATTGCAGATGTTTACTCTAGAATCTTCTTCGTGAGTTCCCATGGAGATACCACGCGATTCTCGTCGTTTCTCTGTTTTTGATTTCTGCTCCACGATGTGAGCTGTGAGGCGGCGGCAAAGATCTTCTGCATCAAATGGCTCATTTTGTTTGGAAACTCTTTTCTTCCCTGTGGGTTTCTTGGATGTAGAGAGCATGTTACTGATTCTTGACTGGTTATTAGTTAGTGGGAACGGAATCATCTAGGGCTGAATGGAAGGGCCGTACTATTTCGTGAGTGCTATCGGTAATGCCGATAAGTTACGATAATGCTTAGTGATTTGTGAAGAAGGCTTCGGGCTTATAGGTAAAGCAAAAGGTTTAGTGGTAACGATAAGTCTTGACGGGGAAACCGTTCCGATGCAGGCATGCGGACGCGACGTTGATCTGTACTAATCGATTTCACAGCATAAGCTCTTCGACAATCATGTTCCTCGGCGAACGTTTTGCAGGGGCCATGCAATTTCATGTAGGATCTCCGGTTTCTGCTTGCAGCAAAATTTTGGTGAGACAGAGGACTCAGCGGAGACTGGTATGGAAAGAGAAGATCAGAACAATTCGAATATCTTGTAACTTCTAGAATAGGTAGTGCGTAGGAGGAGGAGAAAGTACACCCCTTTTGTATATACAGGCGAAGCTCAACTGTATATGCACGTCCCGGAAGGTTCCATCAGACGTCTTATGTAAGCAGTATTTCAGTACGGGCTAAATTTTGATCGATATAGCTAGGTAAATAGCGTGAGGAACCGTTTACATCAACATTAAATGCGGATTTCATATGACAACAGGACGATTATTATAACTAAGGCTAGTGCATGATTCGCGTGCCGTGCTTTAAATTATGACCTTGTATGGAAAGGGCGACAGTGATCTTGTTCGAACAAGCGAAGCCTATCCCTTGCCTAAGCTAGCCTAAGCTAGAAATGTTGAACACAGCCTGGGCGACGCATTCGCACCATAAACCAGATTGCACAATTTTTACAACCTATAAAGTGTTGTAACAAGAACTAACCACTAATCCGCCGCCATCTGACTCGAAAATGACACTCTCTCTACAAGCAGTTCATTTTTAAAAAAATATGTGGACATTGTGTCATGTAGAACGAGGTGTATCGCCCTACACTACTAAGTGGCTAAAGCTGCTACTAGCTGTCGTTCTAGCGCCAATGGTTAGACTTCGCTGGATCGAAAGGATTCTTTGACTCTTTTCCTCACCGCCACCCGTTTGCTTCCGGCACACGGTAACAACCCTTGAAGCTGCATGGCAAGCATGCCAACCCTTGCGAAATACAAGGCGTGAAGGCAATTAAATCTGGCAGTCACAACCTTGAGATTCGGAATTTTTTTACGGAGGCATGTGCACGCAAAGGTCTGTTCTGCCGGTAGACTCCATGTGTGCTGAAAAAGCTGAGCTTTCGTGTTGTGCACTGCTACAATACGTTGCGTTGCGAAGTTTCCGTGACATCCGGGTGAGTTTAGATCGACGATTTGATGATAGATTCAGTCTGGCTAACGACAACAGTTGTTTTTTCGGTATTTTCGAGCAGGGCCGCTCAGATATCGCAAAACAGGTCACCTCCAGACAAACTTAGCCAGGCATACTCCAGCGGCACAGATTTTCACTGCGGGCGTTGCTTGGTCACACCTTAGCATCGGCAAAACAAAAACTTTGCGCGCGCTTCAACCCATGCAAGCACAAGCTGTGTGAAGATCTTGACGCTAGGTCCCCCTTGGAAGTGTAGGATGGGGCGGATGGGCTTGAAATACGCCCCTACAATCGTGTTTTTTGGACTACAGAGTCAAGCATTCTCCCCTGGGTCGAGCATTGAGGAGACGCAGTCCAAATAGTCGCCTATTACTCCAGAAAAAAGTAAATTGTAACGATAAATGGCTGGCTCCATATAGATTTTCATATGATCGTATATCTGGCTGAACACGCCCAACCCGCTCGGACATTTGGATGCCACAACGAGAGCCGGTCGCTGGTGGAGCACGCCGCTAACAGGCTGACTTGACAGCCCGGCTACACACCTACCGTTGTCGGAGCATTGCATTAATCAACTCCGTCTCAGCCCTATCAACCTATCTCTTACAAACTATGGGAATCCTCGACCTCTTCATCTACCGGCATTGGCTGTCGGAGGCAATTACCCCACAGCAAGCTTTACGAACGCCCTTGTGAATTATTTATGCTCGCTACAATCGAGTATAAGATACGTCAGACAGACACAACAAATAAATTTTAGCTGATTTGAGTAAATAGAATCCCAGAAAATATTGGGAATGTATCAGTAAGTACTTGTACAAAAAGGTTGGTTTAAAACTCTACTTGAGAAAGCCATAAAATAGTCCACTAACACAGTTCTAGTCTACATTATAACACTCGGGCCGTAAACTAAATTGGTCCTTCGTGTGGACTGCTCTATTGCATGATTTGTCTTTCATCAGAGTTATACCTCTTATTATCTTAGCAGTACTACAGAGACTAGATCTAATTCGTAAGTTATTCTGTCGTCACGCCGCGTACCGCTGAAGATCCATGGTACTAAAGTCACACGGAGAAAATTCTGATCAGTCAGGCCTGAGCCTCTACACGTCCATCTCAGAACTCATGTCTAAGTGAGGTTTAATGCCATTCACAGCCTGGAGCTATGTAGGATATATTAGTTCTCTAGCCAGTCTGGTTTATTGATAATTACCAGCTAACAATACAAAAAACCGGCTCCAGCCGGCAATACCACAAATTGTATATCAATGGTATAGAAGTGGTGGACATGGAAGAGTTGACTGTTCTACCTAAGAAAGACTGAGTAGTGTTTATTGTAATCTCGATACATTAATACTGTTTTGCAGGGATTAATGTAATTATTCCAGGCCAGCCGATTATCCGTCCGCACTTTTACCAAGCCATAACAGGGTACCGAAGTCTAATTTCCTCGCCTCGCGCGCTATTGGCTGTAGACGATCGATATAATCTCTCCATGCCTCACACAGGAAAGAAGGTTTATATTAAAATTAGAATGAAGAAATAGACTATTACTTTCAAAATTGGCGAGTTAATAACTTCTGTTCGCTTTGCTCTAAACAAGATTCTCTCCGAAATGCCGACCACTTTTACAGTAATCTGCGGCATAATGCATATCTTTTATCACGTAACCATCTTCTCGCATTGCTTAGCCCCCAACTACAAGCTCACGATAATACGGATGTAATACATATGAGCGGAGCCGGGGCATGTAATTTTGGACACGTCGCTACCACTGGGGAAGCTCAGATATTAGCGTAGAGTTTATTGTAAATTATAAAGAAATCTTTGGTAAAAGAAATGATGCAGAGGGGCTCTGAAATTAGTCGAATATGAGATTTGCGGTAATAATTTTAAAAATTGGAAAGATTGGAGGTGCTAAGCATTAAGCTCCAATGGCAAAGATAGGTTTTATCGTCCGCCTTTTGGTTACGAAATTTCCAAATATAGTCCGAGCATCCCGCAAACTTCACACGAGAGATGGAGCTGGCCGAGGGACTATTCTGAGCACATGTCGGTGGTATCCCCAACGAACCATCAGCTCTTTTTTTTTTAATCATTTCATGTGTATTCAGCTATCTAGCTATGACACATGACCGGTGCTATGTATACATGATGGATGCCTCTTTTGGCGTTTGAGACACTCATACTCTAGATTTCATTCGCAAATACCACTATGAGGTATGTTCACTTACACAAACAGTCGACTCTCCTCCGTAAGTACTCACCAAAGGGAATTTAAAAACCTTTGGTTATCCATGCATGCCCTCGTCATCCATGTATACCAGCGCCGCGACAAATGTGGTTGTGTTTTGCCGGATTTGAACCAGTGATCTACTGTCTCGAGTGGGATATGTGTCCCGGCTATCCAGACTCTACTTGGCAGACCGGCCAAGACAATGTACCACCGCACCATCCAACCATGACGGTGTTTATAGTGTCGCCGGCACTCTCGCATCCGAAGACTTGGCACGCACAAAGCTCAATTTGTAAAAACTCCTTTCCAAAATTCTGAATTCCATGCCCGTCGAGACTATATCCATCCTTCGCATCATTTTGTGCACTTGTCCTGAATTCTCTCACGTCCATCCAAAAGAACAGTCTTCCAGATTTGTGCGCCACGCTTTGTGTCCTCCTTCGGGTGTAAATATTGGCGTGGGCGTGTATCTGGCGACCAGCTAAGGCCAGAGAAAGTCGACAAGAGGTGTGATCATTGAAATGAGGATGTACTAGGTCGTACTTGTAGTCTTGATGTGGCTGAGGTATGAATCGGACTCTTTGGAAGTGGAGATTTGACTTGGCGGAGTATTTTGAATCATTGCCTTGTAGGCCAACTTGTTCGGTATTGCGAAGTTTGACTGAACTTGGCTCTTGGACCTTCAGCTCTAACTACATTGTCTCCAAAAGATTGGATGGTGCAGTGGTACACTATTCGGGCCATTCTCCCAAGTAGATACTGGGAAGCCTGAACACCTACCCCATTTGAGACAGGAGAAAGCTAGTTCGAATCCAGTAAAACCCACACACTACCCTCTCTCGCGGTGATATTGTACTTGTAGGATGATGAAAGCACGTTCGGATAGCCACAGGTTTTTTACGCTTTTCCCTGTGGTGGGTATGTACGGAAGAGGTTATACGCCGTAAGGGTTAACCTCGAGTGGTATCTGCAAATGAAATCTGAGTGTGAGTGTTCTAAACGTCAGATTGAATTATCCTACTCAAAGTACATATCTTCCGACAAAATCCTGCATGGGTGAGGATCCAAGATTGACAGACCTCTAGATTAGTACGAGGCTCTGATAAATTGTAATGCTTATGTAATGTTGTTCATGTTGGAGTCCGGGCACAAGATTAAGAATACTGCACTTATATAGACGATATCCTGTATTAATAGAAAACCAAGTTACATCTAGTCTTAAGCTCTACTATACATATTGGTAGATTGGAGCCACGAGACACCCGTAACCTACGCCATCTAAAAGCTAAGCTTATCTCACTTTTCACACATACTAATCCATCAGGAACCTCATGGGCGTCAAGGCGCCAAATCGGGATGACTGAATTATTTATTTATTTATAGTGTCTCCAGAGCCGAGATTGAGTAATACATTTTCAACTTTGAGCTGAATTACC